CTCCCTCACCACGAAACTCTCCCTCATTCTCTCTCCGTTTTTCACTTGAGCTCTCTCTCTCTCTCTCCCTCTCTCATTTTCAGTATACAGTAATTCTTTCTTCCATTCTATGTTTCTATCCACCGTATCTCATTCTCCACTCCTTTTCATTTCCCTCTTCCTCCCTGCCTGTGTGACTCACATCCTCCCTATCTCCCTCTTCTTTCCTGTTAATATAACTGTCCCATCTTCTGTCTCTTACTCTCTGTGTACCCCAGTCTCTCTATTTTTACCTATGTCTCTGTCTCTCCCAGTCTCTATCTCTACACATGTCTCTGTCTCTCCCAGTCTATCTCTACACATGCCTCTGTCTCTCCCAGTCTCTCTATTTTTACCTATGTCTCTGTCTTTCCCAGTCTATCTCTACACATGTCTCTGTCTCTCCCAGTCTCTATCTCTATACATGCCTCTGTCTCTCCCAGTCTATCTCTACACATGTCTCTGTCTCTCCCAGTCTCTATCTCTATACATGCCTCTGTCTCCCCCAAATTATCTCTACACATCTCACCTGTCTCCCTCTGCCTGGCGCTTCCTAGATAATTACAGTAATAATAAGAGGCTTCATGACGTCACAGAACACCATAACAAACTCCTCTCCCTGCATCATAACACGTCAGTGGGGTAATATACCATCTTACAGTGTCCTCGTTAGTGCCACGCTCCTGTCTGACCTACTTTGACCCCGTAGTGTACTCCCCTGACTCCTACTTGATAAATTTTGGCCTTGTAGTGACTTCCTATGACCCTCACGTTGACCTTTCCTGACCCTTGTAAAAATCATAATTTCATGAAGTTACCTTCCATCATTCTAGTCAGCTCAAATGACCACAATCAAATCCATCTGATACTGATACCTAATCAAGTCCCCTTTGTGACCTTAACTCAGTATTAGGTAACCTTAACTCAGTATCAGGTAACCTTAACTCAGTATTAGGTAACCTTAACTCAGTATCAGGTAACCTTAACTCAGTATCAGGTAACCTTAACTCAGTATCAGGTAACCTTAACTCAGTATCAGGTAACCTTAACTCAGTATTAGGTAACCTTAACTCAGTATCAGGTAACCTTAACTCAGTATCAGGTAACCTTAACTCAGTATCAGGTAACCTTAACTCAGTATCAGGTAACCTTAACTCAGTATCAGGTAGCCTTAACTCAGTATCAGGTGACCTCATATAGCCAGGTGAGCCAGAACACCCACCTGGTCAAGGACTCCCGGCTGAGCCTGAACTTGTTTATCATGCCCAAACTCTCCATCATAGAGATGACTGCCATGGGCGTCTTCGACTCTGCCAGCTGACGGGGGAAGTACCTGCAACAATTCAAGGTAAGTTAGTTTGTTGGGTTAATTCAGATGAGGTTTATTATGAATACACGTGAGATTAGGTTAAATTTGTAATGACAACAGACACGGGTCAGATCAGGTTGGTGATTTCAGCAGACATATGTTAGTACAGGTATTGTAAAAAATTGTGTAAATCAATGAACAGAAACCCTGAATTACCGCATGAATAACATCTTACATACTCACTGAAAGACAGACAGACAGAGAGACAGGAAGAAGCTAGTATACCCTCTCCTTCCCTAAACTATAATAAAACTGTATAATAATAAAAAAATAAATGGGAGAGTAAATGAAACAGGGAAAGTTGGTGCCGTAGAGTTCAGCCAACCACACCACACAAGATGACGTCAGGGGACACGGGGGTAATGTTATAGCTATTGTTTTTTACGAATTACTATACTTATTTAATTGTTCTTTACGTCTACTGTATTGTGTTTTTATTGTGAAGTCTTGTATTTATTTTACATTTAAGAGACAGTAAAAACCAAGGTCATGTAAACAATAATAAGAAATACAAACAAACATACATACTGCACATACTCGTACACACATACACACACACACACACACACATCTATCTCAGTATGAAATTCTGGTGCGATCAAATTATTAACCTTAATTAAAAAACTAAAAATAAATCATGTTCAGGAAGTAATCAACTGATATAATGGAACCAGTTGAGGGAGTGTTAATAAGTGTGTCTATGGAGGGGAAAAACAAGTGTCGGGCCAAATTAAGTCCCTTGAGGAGGCCCTTCAGTAGGTGCAAGGATTTAGAGAACCAAAGTTAACATGACACTTGAGTGTTTGGTCCACACACACACACACACACACACACACACACACACACACACACACTCCATCATAAGCTGGATTTGACGCCATAAGTTGAATTATGACGTCGTAGATTAAATCATGACGTCACAAATTAAATAATAACATCACCAAATGAAATTATGACGTCGTGGGCTAAATTGTGATGTCAAAGGTTAATTAGGACGTCACAGGTTACATTATAAGAACATAAGAATGGAGGAAACTGCAGCGGGCCTATTGACCCATACTGGACAGTCCCGTTTACACCCAACCCCTATCGCTCATATATCCGTCCAACCTGTGTTTGAAGCTCCCCAGCGTATTCGAGTTAATGATGATGTTTGGTAACTTGTTCCACTCATCCACTACTCTATTTCCAAACCAATGTTTACCTATCTCGCGCCTAAATCTAAATTTGTCAAATTTAAAACCATTGTTACGAGTTCGCTCCTGGTTGGATAGTTTGAGTACCTTTGTTATATCACCTTTGCTTAACCCTGACTTCCATATATACACCTGTATCATATCGCCCCTCACTCTACGTCTCTCGAGGGAGTGCAAATTAAGATGCTTTAACCAGTCTCTGTACTCAAGGTTCCTAATGCCCGGGATTAGTCGCGTCATCCTCCTCTGAATTCTTTCTAGGGATTCTATATCCATTCTGTAGTCCGGTGACCAAACAAAATCACATCATAAGTTAAATGATGCCGCCATAGTTTAATTATGATGTCATAGGCTAGGTTATGATATCATGGGTTATATTATGATGTCATAGGATAATTATGATGTCATAAGGTAAAGTATTACTTCACGAGCTAAATTATGACGTCATCGGCTAAAGTGAAACAGAAAGAAAGACAAAGACAGGGAGACTGACAGATGAGTGATGAACAGACGGATGGACGGATGAACAGACGGTACAGCACCATCAAACAATCCAATGACCTCAGATAACTAGTGAGTTGGTCCTGCATGGTCGCCAACACCAACCCGAGGCCAAGATGGGGGAGAGCTGGGGGAGGTACCTTTATCCTCAGAGGGGGTTTGTTATGGTGTTCTGTGACGTCATGAAGCCTCTTATTATTACTGTAATTATCTAGGAAGAGCCAGGCAGAGGGAGACAGGTGAGATGTGTAGAGATAATTTGGGGGAGACAGAGGCATGTGTAGAGATAGAGACTGGGAGAGACATTACTATCTGTGTTTACGCTTGATATTTGACCCAGTTATAGAGACATATTCTTCGGACTCACGTTACGAGCAAGACTCCACAATGAAAACACACACACACACACACACACACACACACACACACACACACACACGAGTTGTATGAGGAGCGATACGTTCATCCATCACGCCTCCTTAAGTACCACGCCAACCTCTGAGTACAGTGAACCTCCCATTATAACACATCCATACACATCCACACACCCGTCACATACACATCTACGTCACACACACACATCCACCACACCCACATACATCCACACCCACACGCACACACAACAGTAAAGAGACAGGCAGTGGTGGTGGTGGTGGTGGTGGTGGTGATGGTATTAATGGTGGTGATGGTAACGGTGGTAGTGATGGTAGTAGGTGATGATGGTAATGGTGGTGGTGGTGGTGGTGATGGTGTGGTGGTGATGGTGGTGGTGGTGGTGGTAGGTGGTGGTAGCCTGACCTTCAAATCACGTATCCAAAAACAAAGCCTCCGGGGTGTAGGGGGGTAGGGAGGGAAGGGAGTGATGGGGAGGAGAGGGGAGGGGATGATAAGGAGGGAGGGGGTGGGGGGGGGGGGAAGAAACAGTCTACCTACGCCTTCAGCTCCTCACAATAAACCACAAAGCGATGTTCTTTTGTTTATGGGATCGAGTCTCGGCACAATTCAAGCGCCATTTTGATCATCGTCAATAAATTGTAGTCTTATGTGAGCCTCAAAATGGTGATTCGTTCCTTTATTCAAGACTCACAATGATTCTCGCGTCAATATTTTCCTCGTAGGGTAGCCTCAGTGCAATTTATACGCCATTTTGGTTTCCATCTTAAAACTGCAGCCGGAGTGAACCCTTAAAATATAGTCTCGGTACACATTGGAGGCCATTTTGCCCCACTAACCTTTCGGCCTCAAACGGTGGATATTTTTAAGTCTGTGGCGGAGCTTTTTGTGAGAGGTGACACGAGGCTCAGGGCGACGACCTACCTGGTGGTGGTGGTAGTAGTGGTAGTAATAGTAGTGGTAGTAATAGGAGTAGTAGTGGTGGTGGTGGTGGTGGGTGTGGTGGTGGTGGTGGTGGGTGTGGTGGTGGTGGTGGTGGGTGTGGTGGTGGTGGTGGTGGTGGTGGTGGTGGTGGTGGTGGTGGTGGTGGTGGTGGTGGTGTGTGGTGGTGTGTGTGGCGGTGTAGTGAGGTAGTGATGATGATGATGGTGGTGGTGGTGTGGTGGGTGGTGGTGGTGGTGGTGGTGGTGGTGGCAGTAGTAGTGATGATGGTGGTGGTGGTGGTGTGGTGGTGGGTGGTGGTGGTGGTGGTGGTGGTGGGTGGGTGGTGGTGGTGGTGGTAGAGGGTAGGTGGTAGTACAGACAGTGGTGGTGGTGGTGGCAGTGGTGGTGGTAATTTGAGAGTAGGATGATGGTAGTGTGGTGGTGGTAGTAGTGGTGATGATGGTAGTAATGGTGGTAGTAGTAGTGGTGGTAGTAGGAGAGAGGTCACTGACTGACCTGAAGGAGCAGAAGTCCTTGTGGAAGGCAGCTGGGGGCAAGACCTCCACCTGTACTAGCCTATCAACCTCCTCCTGCGTCACCTGTGGGAGAGACACGCCTTTTAGTAATACTGAAGGAGGAATGGTTTGTTAATTTTAATCTCATGTGAAAAATACCACCTACTATATAGCATACTATATAATCATCAACACTTAATTAATATAATCATAATAAACATTCAAAACTATATATATCCTTTATCATACACCTACTATATACATCATCAACACCTACTATATACATCATCAACACCTACTATACACACTATATACATCAAACACCTACTATATACATCATCAACACCTACTATATACATCATCAACACCTACTATATACATCATCAACACCTACTATATACATCATCAACACCTACTATATACATCATCAACACCTACTATATACATCATCAACACCTACTATATACATCATCAACACCTACTATATACATCATCAACACCTACTATATACATCATCAACACCTACTATATACATCATCAACACCTACTATATACATCAACCTGCTGCCAACACTTGCACTTGGCCATTGACCTTGACCTCTTGAACCCAAACAAACACACACTCTCTGTCCAGCGTCAAGGTGAGTATTTATACACACACACACACACACACACTCCGTATAAACACTGTGGCTGTGTGTGTATATCCTCCAGTTATCCCGTCGACATACGTACATACATACTTACATACATTAATATACAAACACACACAGATGATCAATTGTTTTGCTCGGTTACAAAACTGTCAGAGAGAGAGAGAGAGAGCCAACAGCGAGCGGGATGGTACACAGCAACACTCACGAATTATTGATAGTGTGAGCGAGCGTAGGAGTGGTGTGACCCGTGGGGGGAGTGTGGCCCCTGGTGGGTATTATTAATGGTGTGTTACCGGGCAGGGGTGAAGGACTCGAGCCACCCCGCACCGGCTGGGTAAACACGATACCCTACCTAGTGGTGTGTCACGGGCCCCCCCCCCCTCCCTCCTCTCCCGCATCTCCTCTATCATCTGCCTCTCCCTGCTGGGGTGTTTAGGGGCGGGGCGGGGCGGGGTTCATGCGGTATTTCAACTCCTTAACTGGGGATGACATAACTCCTCTAGTTAAGCTACAGGCAAAGTGTAATTCAAACGCCATCTTGGTTTCATGGTCTACGTCAAGGGTTAAGTGAGCCAGTTAGATACTGTACGACCTGCCTCACATTACTAGGAGTACCTGTTAGTGTACGACCTGCCTCACATTACTAGGAGTACCTGTTAGTGTACGACCTGCCTCACATTACTAGGAGTACCTGTTAGTGTACGACCTGCCTCACATTACTAGGAATACCTGTTACTGTACGACCTGCCTCACATTACTAGGAGTACCTGTTACTGTACGACCCTCAGAGAATCATCTTTGTTTTGTAGTGTTATGATTACGCTCATGTGTGTGTGTGTGTGTGTGTGTGTGTGTGCCGTCTCGTTTCACATTAGTTTCGTTATGGCACCACAAAGACAATGCCACAGAGCGAAGCGGCACTGATGGCACTTGAGAGGTCATGACTCAGCTGACTGTGGTGCTACTGTAGGCTTTGACCCAATGTAACCTGTAGTGCCACGTCAGAGGTCATGAAAACTAACCTGTGGTGCCACTGGATAGGTCAATAACCGGGTAACCTGTTGTGCCGGGGGAGGACATGGCCTGGTTGGCACCGTGCCATCTTCAACAATGCCACCACCTGCCACCGCCGTCTGCCTCGCTTCTCTCCCTGGTACCTTGGCGTCACTGTCACAAGCTTAATATTATTTTCATATCACTGTCTCTCTGTCTTTTTGCCTGACTGTCTGTCTGTCTGTCTGTCTGTCTCTACACACTCACACACCCACACACTCTCATACCTCTACTACCACCATCACCACCACAACAACACCCCCCTCACAGCCTCAGCCCCACCACCACAACATAGCACCTCTTCCTATCTCCCTCCTCTTCCTCTTACTCCCTACCTCTCTCTCCCTCCCTGCTTCACCTGTCTCCCTACCTCTCTCTCCCTCCTTGCCTCACCTGCCTCTATCTCTCATTTCTCCCCCTCCCCTCTCTCCCACCACCCCTCTCCTTCTATGTTCCTTCCTCGCCCCCCTCTCTCGCACCTTCTCCCCTCCCCCTCACCTCCTCCTCCTCCTCCTCCTCCTCCTCCTCCTCCTCCTCCTCCTCACCCCCACAGACACTGCCTCCACCCTCCTCCCACTGCCTCTTTTTGTGCCTCTTAAGTGTCTTGTTAAATGACTTGTTAATTACCACTTTTTATATGACGTTTGAAAGAGCTTCATTTTAAATGACTATTGGAAATGCCTCTTGCTAAGCGATTGTTTAAGTGCCTCTTCGGTGACTGTTGTAAGTTTTAAGTGTCCGTTAAGTGCTTGTTATGTATTATTTGTTATGTGGTTATTCTAAAGTGCCTCTTGTTAAGTGACTATTGTAAGTGGTTGTCACTCATGAGTGCGACTCATTTCAGTGCCACATACATAAGTAGTGTGGCAGTGAACCAACATTTTCGGTATCCCTCAGGTCAAAGGTCATGTGTCATCATGGAGGTCAGAGGTCGTGTGTCACCGTATAAACAGGTTAATTTTTTTCACCAGATATTTCTGTTATCAGCAGACGACAAGAACACCGACCTGGACCAAGCCCACCTATGAACCCGAGGCTCTTCCCACCTTTAGGCTTCCTTAGCAACCAAAAGAATTCGTGGAAGCTGATTGGCTGTCAAGTTTCACTAAACTCTGCCTACTTTTGGCTTCTCTAGCAACCAATTAACTTTCACGAAAGTGGGTAGACCTAAGTCGACTTAATCGACGTTCTGCAGTTTTGGTCGATGTGTCTTAACTTTAAGAACTGCTCACAAGATGTTCGTCCTTCAAGGCCGTCCTCGACCTATCAGAAACTCTTACTCTTTGGATTTTCACTTTTGAACGAAAATTTCTTTACAGACAGATCATCAGGTGATGGTCGAGCGATGACTGTAAGGCGCGGTCACACATCCCAAACATCGACGGGAAATCAACGAATCCAAAAACTTTGTCTGTCAGAACGGACAAGACCCAGTTGACGCTCAGACTAGTCAACAGTTGTTACCGTTTGAAAGTTGTCGACTCAGACGATTTTCTGTTGCCCGTTTTGATCTTTGAAATTCTAAAATATAAAGTATTAGTTCAGAATATATCCTTCATAAATTATCCACATATATGCCTGCAAATATTGTTATTTTGAAACATCTTTCCTGTAATACGAGTACAAGCTAAAATGTGAAAGTATTGCTAAAATAGAAATACAAGACGAGACCTCATTTGACACAACGAAACGGTGACGCGGGAAATTGGCCTTCAACTCTACATTCTCCAAGAGGCTATAAGTGACATCAATGGGCGTATTAATTCCTTAAACTTGTCCTTGATCAAGTGATGAAAACCATACAATGATTGGGGGCCTTTCAGACCGACTTCTGGCACTAGATTATGGTACACACTCTAACTGTCTCTTCTTGCCAACCCGGAAAATACCCGTCCAGTAACAAGGGGCGGCCGTCCAGTAGCAGGGGGGGGGGGGTCGTGTGCCTTGCATTGAACAACTAATTCAACGTTCAAAAGGCATGAGAATACAAGGTCCGCCAGCTAGATATTCCGCGCATTACACACATCGCCTGGGCAGTGTCAGGAGCCTGGAAGATATGACAGGAACCCATCCATGGAGTCGAGAAATAATAACCTCCTGAAATAAGGGTTTGGGGGGGATGGGGTACAACCTGTTCCTGGTATAACTGTGATGTCTTATACGTTGCTTATTTGGCACGACAGTGTCTCCCAGGTGATGTGTGACCATAATAATAGACAGGAGTTAGGTGTGTCCCTCCTCCTTTCTGTCTGTTTTCTAGATGGACACACGCACACACCATCCTCGACACCGGCTCCTACTTCCACCCGAGATCCCTCGTCTGCGAATTGCTGTTCGACACCACAACCTCATCCAGCCCATACGAGCATGAACTGATCGCTATAATAACAGCCCAGTCCCAACCATTGTAAAAATTATCAACAACTCGTAATCAACCAGTGTATTCACTCCCAGTCAATCTTACCTTTTTGCACTGTCACTATGTTGAAATGCCCTGTAGTATGACCTTCTCCCCACCTTGTTATTATATATCTTATTTGTATCACTTATGTTACTTGTATATTATTTGTGAATCAAGAGACCCATTCCTCATTTATGTAACTATAATTTCAACCTCCCGGCTGCCATGCTCTTTCAATAAACCGTGAATTATTATTATTATTATTATTATTATTATTATTATTATTATTATTATTATTATTACACACAGGGATGCAGTCAAATCCATTACGGCAGTGTTTCTTAGTTCAGTGAGGGAGTGGCAAACGTTCTTGTCTCACCTACAGCACATTGTTTGTACTTTTGAGGAAGGAAGGAAGTGAAGATGGGCTAGTGAGGAAGGAAGGAAGGAAGTGAAGATGGGCTAGTGAGGAAGGAAGGAATAAAAGAGGGGGAGAAACAGCAGATGGAGGGAGAGAGGGAGGGAGGGGCGGAGAGGTAGAAGAGGAATGGGGCGAAGATATACGGGAGGGAGAGGGGGAGGAGAGATGGAGGGAGGGAGAGATGGAGGGAGGGGGGGAGGGAGAGGGGTAGGGAGGGGTGGACAAACCAAATGTCAACCCGCTGTCCTCACATCATCTAATAACATAACGCGTCACTGCCTGCCCCAGTAACGAGAGACTGTCAACACGTTACCAGCCTCACCCTGCCACCACAACAACCCTGAAGAAGCTGTTACAAGGCGTCACACACACGTCTCTGTCACTCACTACTTATCTCTATTCACAAGAAATAATTACGTTACACACGCCACAAATCCCTGCATAATACACTGCTGACATGGCGTTTCACCTCCATATCGTATCACAATACCACACTGTGCCACACCCTACCACACTGTGCCACACCTTACCACGTTGGTGACAATGTTACATT